TTGATCTCTAAAAAGTTTTAAAGTAACTAATTTTATTAAGAACAGATTTCAATCATTTTCAGTAGTCAAACCTCAGTATTTCAACCCACATTCAAACCCTGCAAACCAAATGGCTGCATGTGTATTTTCGCAACTTTCCTTTGGTGTGTTAAAAATACAATGCAGTCTCTCTCAAAAAGATTTCACTACCTTAGGAAGGTAGTATCCACGGGCTTTACTGCATTCAAACAAAAAAGGAACTGCTATATAATACCTTAAAAAAAATGTCTTCTAAAACTTTCGTTCAGGATGAAGAGTAATCTAACTAAAATATACTAAATTAAAAGGCAAAAACTTAAACATTCAAGAACTGAGTTTAAAATATTGATTTTATTTTGCTATTTGATAATGGTAATGACCAACAATAACAGATAATATTAATAAATATAACTAATGTTTCTCATACCACTTTGATGCATTTGATATTATTCATTATAGGTTTGTTTTTAAAACTTAACATTTCAGAAATTTTCTAAATGATTAAAATAAAAATTTTAGAACCAGGTTTGTTTTTAAAACTTAATATTTCAGAAATTTTCTAAATGATTAAAATAAAAAATTTTAGAACCAATCTTTTTTGGAAATTTTCCATGGATGCATTTAAACTTTTATTCTTCTCCACAGGGTAAAGGTTGAGAATTTTTGGATCACCCAAAATTTCATTATGGAAGACATTGCAATCATGAATCTCTGCTGAGTGACTAACTAGAAATAAAAATGATGCAAGCAGGATTTTCATTACTATCAACAGCATGCCTCAGTAGATATAGGCTTATTTTACTGTTTCTTTGATTACAGATAGCTAATTTTTCCATACATTATTTAAATACATTTCACATTCTTTGAAATGTGCACTTTAATACTAGCTGCTAGCATTCAAATGTTTTAGGCCTTTTTCATTAAAAATATACATTGGTTTCCAAAAATTAAGGAAAAATTGCAAAAATAGCCATAACTCATTCAAAAATAAACCAATCCATATAAAATTTGAATATGTTGTCAAATAAGAACTGCAGAGTAAAACTGCAGTATGCAAATCAGTGGCGCTGCAATCGAAATAAGTCATCTGTGAGAAGCATAAAACTGCATGTTTAGAGCAAGCCTGCAGATTCCACTGTGATACTGAGATAAGAAATCTGGGATAGCCAATTTTTAACTATCACCACCCAAGGATCATTTGCCTGAAGAACTGCAATGGAAGACTACAAACGGGACAAAGTCAGATAGAAGAGGCCGGATGGCTAAATGTCAGTCCTTCTGTGGCAATTATTTCTAACCACAGACTCGGCATCCAGGTGGTTTAGCCAACCACTACAACAAGCATTGTTGACTGATATTTGTTATCTGCATGAAGGAATACAACCTCAACTCAGATCCTCCCTTACTGCAGCCACTGGAAGGTTGATGTCAATGTCAACCACGCATAGAAGGCTTCCTGAAGGAAGTCTGTACGTGAGGTCACCAGCCATTTGCAGGTTATATCAAGAGACCATTTGACGTGGACACGTCAACATATCCACAGGACAGCTGATCAATGGAAGGCTGTTCTCTTTATGGATGAGTACAGGCTTAGCCTCCAGAGTGATAGTATGCATTATTTGATTTGCAGAGAACTCGGAACCCATTATCATCCATCAAACATCCATGAAAGAGATGCATACAGAAGGAAGCAGTGTCTGTGTATGAGATGGTATTTCTCTGGGTGGACGCACAGACCTCCACATCTTTCACTTGGACCCATGAATGCTCAGGCCTATAGAGATAATATCCTTGATGTTTATGTGCCCCCTTATGCTCAGACAGTAGGTCATAATTTCCTGTGACAATGCTAGATTGCATAGGACTCGGATCGTAGATGATTACCTTCAGCAGCAAACAATTCAGTGCATGGAGTGGGCAGCTCGACCACTGGACCTGAATCCTATAGAGCATGTTTGGGATGCTTTAGAAAGACGTAACTGCTCTCAATCCTCCTCTTCAGACCCTTGCCACACTTACAACTGCTCTGCAAGAGATATATATAGCTCTCACTTCCTATAGAACTGATATACTGCATAATTGTAATATTTGTTATACTCCATACCAAAAGTAATTTTCCTATACTGACACCATTTCCCATACGATTTATTCATTTTATACATATTTTAATTTCTAGAACATCAATTGCCTGTAATTTATTTTCTTGTTATTTTATATCTTATTATGAATTGTATACTGTGGTCAGTTTCATTAAATTCTATATGTAACTTTTTCAGTAATCGTCATTTTCATGATTTTTCCTTAATTAATGATAACCAGTGTATTGTATATATAAACTAATCACAACTAAAGTTTAATTTCTGTTAATTTTTAATTTATTTTCATGCAGCATATTCTATTCGGTCCGCCAGAAAGTTGTGTCCATTTCTATGACAACATTTTACACGTAAGCACGTTTATTTGGCACATGTTTGGCTCTCTATTTTTATTGCTTAATGTATGCATACTGACATAGCAAATTAACTAAAACAAAGTTGATTCACAGTAGTCTTTAAGTGTGAAGCAATAGTGTATCCATGTTCATTTACCAAGTTCATTTACAGCACTGTATTTTATATGAATTACAACAAGGAAGAAATGCTACAAAAGCATAGAAATTTATTGAAAGTGTTTGGTGAAGGTACAGTTTCTAACAGGACATGCTGAAGATGGTTCAAAAATTTTGAAACAGGTGATTTCGACCTTTCTGCCATGTTCCGGGCGACCATCTTTAATCAACAATGACGTTGTTCAGACCATGTTGGAGCAAGATCCTTTTCTGATAAAAAGGCTTAATTCAGCTCAGCAAACTATTTTAGACCATATACAGAAGAGAGAATTGGTGTGGAAATATTCAAGATGAGTGCCACAAGAATTAAGTTAGAAGAATTTGGATGATCGAGTCGTCATACGCACATCTCTGCTTGCTCGGAACAAAATTGAGCCTTTCTTGAACCGGATGATAACTGCAGATGAAAAGTAGATTACCTACGAAAACATCATAAGGAAAAAGGCATATTGTGAACCCAGAAAATCTAGCCCTTCCACCTCTAAACCGCATTTGACTCTGAGTAAGAGAATATTGTGTATATGGTGGGATATTTTAAGATCAATACATTGCGAGTTTTTTAAACTGAACAAAAAGCTTTATTCGGAGTAGTGTCAGGAATGAGATAATTTAAAGACAGCAATCCCAGAAAAGAGGCCAGCAATGTTCAATAGGAAGGACATCATACTGCATTATGATAATGCCAGGTCACATGCTGCTTTAAGAAATTATCAAAAAATTTCTGAACTAGGCTGGGGTCGCAACAACCATATTCCCTAGACTAAACACTCTCTGACTATCACTTGTTTTTGTCCTTACAAAATGTTTTGAAGTGCAAGAAATTCGAAAATGAAGAAGCTATCAAACAAGAATTCGTTCAATTTTTTGTATGAAAAGATATAACATTTTTCAAAAATGGTATATACAAATTGCCCTCACGCTGGCAGGAAGTTATTAATAATAATGGCAATTATATCATTTAATAAAGTCTATTGACGCTAAGAAAAATTTGTATTTTGTGTTATTCCAAAAATGGACAGAACTTTCCGGTAGACCGAATAAAAAGTATTATTTCAATTTCATTAAATTCCGCATGTAACTTTTTGAGTAATCGTCATTTTGAGGATTTTTCTTAATTAATGAAAACCAGTGTATTTTATACTTAAACTAATCACAACTGAAGTTTAATTTCTGTTAATTTTTCATTAACTTTCATGCAGAATAAAAAGACTGTCTCAAAAGAATTAATAGTTCAGACTTTTTAACCAATTTGACTAAAATACTTAAATTAGTGTTTTGTGAAGCCTAAATCACCTTATTCATAGACAAACACTGCTACATGTAAATATAGTTTCATTTTTGTTTTGCAGAATCTTTCACTTAACTATGAAATTTAAATCTCTTAAATCTTGCTCAAACCCTGATGTAAAATTCAATACAAACATGTTCTCAGAAACACAGAAGACCTCTGATATGCATACTATACTGAAGCATACCCTCCTTTGATTGTTTCCTCTTCTACATGAGACAAGGCTGTGAGCCCAATTTTCTCCCAGCATTACAAAATGTTGCAGCTGTGTACATGAGACAAATCACCAAATGCAACTGTTGTTCAAAAGATGTGGTTAAAAACTTCCTATTAAACCTAGTGCTTCAAAAAACGTATTTCTCAGAAAAATTCTTCAATTTCATTTCATACTGATAGATATAAGACTATTATAGAAAACAATTTTTTTAATTTATATTTCTTGTTTCAATTTTCAATTTATATTTCAAAGTATCTTTTTGAATTAAACTTGTGAATGCTTTATTGATAATTTAAAAAGCTGTTTCTCCCCTTCAATTTCAAAAAAGTATACAGATGTGTTTCATGAAACAGCTTTAGTAATTCTGCATATTACAGTTAAAAAAGTAAACCTCACTTTTTTCAATGACAGATGCTTTTAATAGCAAACATTTTTTTTTTTAAATAAAATTTGGACTTCGTGAAATTTCCCAATGTATGACTAGTGTATAGTGTTTAATAACTCCCATTATTTAACTTCTTAAATAACCCTGTTTCCAAGATTACCATAATATCTGATCATGAATATTTGATCAATAATTAATCATTTAAGAACTAAGATACAGATGAACAAACATTTCAGAATGCAGAGACGTATACAAAAGTCAGATGAAAAGTGAGAGAAAGAATTCCTAGATTAGAGACTTTGAGTGGCAAATTATAACATAACACATAATAAATCCTATTTTGATATTTAACTTCTTTAGTTTGAATCATTAAAACATTAGAAATTAGTGGTACTAAAAATCCATATATTTATACTTAAGAGTGGATTTGATCAAGCATATAAAGTAATTTATAATCAAGACTAAAATTTAAATACTCTGACAATAAATTCAGAATTTTACTTTAATTAAGATAATAAAATTCTACAATACTCACTTTTATGTCAGAAATGCGATGAGCCCAAAGACTGCATTACGATATTGTTAATTAGCATTCAATTTTACATAAATTTTCAGAAAACTCTTGGAGACAAGGATATTACTTTTTCATTCACAAATCCTTAGTCTGATTTTGATAAAAGTCTCACAAAAATTCTATTCAGAAACTTAATTTCATACACAGAGCAACTTTCAGGATCTTTTTTTTTTTTTTTTTTTTTTTTTTTATTTCAAATATTTTCAAATGACACATAATTCCATTTAACTAATATTTTATGCGAAACATGGTTAAAAAGTAGTTTTATGAAACACGCAAAATTCATATTTTTTTACCAAATATTAATATGAAATAATACCTGAAAAAACAGGAATTACTATGACCAAAGTTACTTATTAATTTAATAATTAAGTTAAATGTTATTTGCAGCCACACTATTGCAGACTACCACTTTGCACTGATACAAAGTTGCGAAAGAAATTCATGTACCACACGATGCAACAGATTATTAAACTTATCCAAGTGAAACAACATAAAAAATTAACATAGAAGTTGAATAAAACAATGTTCATTACTCAACTGTCTTGCCAGTGGTTACATAAAATTATTTGACCAGTACATACTACACAAACTAACTGGAATTACCAAATGCATGTGGTTTGAAGACTATGCCTTTCTCCTAAAACAGGAACCAATAAGAAGGAATTCAGCAGCATACTATACTATCAAGAAGAAATGGATTTCTAATATGAAATGATAACTGTAAACATGCCAATCTCACTGAAAACTGCAAAAATTAACCATTTACAAATGTGAGACAGCCACTCTGTACACATGCTTTTTTTTAAATACTTCATGAAAATATCTTTTTAAACATTTGGACTGCTTCAATAATATGTCTTGTTTTTACAAAGCAGCTGATCTTTAAAACCACCACTAACCTAAGATCCTTCAAAGGAGGCAAGAACAACCATAAAACAGTTTAGCAGAAATTCATGAAGGCAATTATTTTTTACTAATCATAACGTTGCTTCTTTAGTGTTTGTGTTTCAGATACAAATAAGAACAGTCAACTAAATTACAACAGCCTAAAACTTAAGAAAAAACAGAAAATAAAATATTTTGGAATAAAATTATTGACCAATAATCAATCCCTTCTATGCTTTAAAAAACTGCCTATTACATTTTACTTGGCAGTGATTTTTTACAGATATGCAGCCATAGGTTTTGTATAATAGTATCTATCATTTTCTGCAGCACACTAACAAAAATGTTCGTTATGAAGAAAAATAGAAAATGAGTTAAGTCTCAGTTTAAAAAAAAAATGGAATTTTGATGGGGAAAAAATTGTAATCAAATATGCATCTTTCAGATGTTTCAAAATGCTTTTTAAAAATGTATCTTCATATCCTCCAAACATATGAGGAAATGTGTTCTATTAATTTAAACTCTGAATGCTAAAATTATAAGTGAAATTCAAAATTATGATTATGCCAACACAACAATTATAGTACATATTACAGAAACATAAAAAAATCAAATTAATGTATAAAGCTTCCTGAAAATAAAGACCTGTAAAATGATGATATATATGGCTTATTTATAAAAAAAATCAAACATGATAATGATATAAATATTTTAGCAGGGTAAAATGAACTGCCAGAATGCACCAAACAGCCGGAAAAAAAAAAAAAAAAAAGCTGCATTCATATAATGCAGTGGGTTCACTGTTACTCATAAGACTGTTCAAAGGTGAAATAAGTGATACATGAGAGAGGAGAAAACACACAAGCATAACAGATAGTTTACAGTTCTTATAAATTGTTACAAATATGATTTGCTCATATCTGCATATGAAGACTGAATACCAGAACTCCATCCAAAAAAATCACAGATAAAGCTGCACATATAAATAACATAACTGATGGTAACTTGCAATCACCTCACTTCTATGTTCTGTTATTAAAAAGCATAGTGGTGGCAATTCATAGTAAAGATCTCTGGCATCAACACAAAAGCTAATGAATATTCATTTCACTTTTTATGTTTCAGAAGCTGCAATTGTTTTGGCTAGACCCTACCACCATTTCCCACTTGGCCTAACTTATCACTGGCTGAGAAAAAAACACACATTTGAAAAAGCTGATACATTTTAGGCTTCAGCTAATATATTTTAGAACGACAGGTTTCATTAAAAATATACTGTGTGTGGGACTCAATGGTTATCATTTTGACCTTTTATTGCAAAGCTTTCACTCAGTATGCAGTATACAGGGTAGATGTATATTAAATTGCCTGATATGTCTGAGAATTTAAAATGTTAAGCCAACATTTTTGCTTGCCTGATCCACATTTCTGGAATAAGTAGTTAACTTATCGATATTGAAAAGGGGTAAGATTATAGGCAACACAGTAAATCACAAATGCTTTGAAAACACAATCTTAATTACAATATTACACCCTGTAGTGTGGTCACAGTTTTGTGAGTTAGTGAAAAGATTATTAATTACTGTATTACATAATTTAGTCCATGAAGGAAGTATGTGAAAATTAGGAAACAAAAACATTAATATTAAAAAATAATAAGAAAAGATAAAAAGCACAATGTAATTCATTAACACTGTGCTTTAGTAACATATAACAGAGGCCTTTTAACTATCAGGGCCTTTTTTCCAAAGCTTCAACAAGTATTTCTTAGAAGAAGAAAACATCTTAATAAGCCATATTAGAACATTGTAAATTAATGAGCAGTATTAGAACTAGCTAAACAAAATCGAAATCTTAACTGTTTAACCACATTCTTAATAGAACATAAAGCCTTCAGAGAAAATATGGGCAAAATTTATTAAATTAGTAAAATTTTTCTCATAGATTTCATTTAAAAGAATAAAATGCAGTAAAGGCATATATATCCAAGTTAATTATCACAGTACTGATTGATATATACGAGTTAAGAGATCTCAGCAACTTCAGATTCTAACCTAAAATAATCTAACACCTTCACTCTAAAATAGAGTACAATACTTTGGGCATTTTGAGACATTTCTACAATTTTACAAAAAGTGTGATTTGCTATCTTTATGCAGCTGCAAGTAACTATACACATATTTACATAAACATCCCAGCAACAAGTAGTGCTAGACATACGAAACGCAGTGGAGGACTAATGAAAATTTTTATATAAAATTCAGATACCAGATTTTAAAAATATGCAAATTCATAACTTTAGATAATCAGAATATTCTGGGCTTCAGTAATTAATTAAGTTAATAGCATTTTAACACACATTAATGGAGAACTAAAGCATTTTTTAGAGTTTATTTTTGATTTTTAAAGCATAACTTTATAATTTAGAGTATACAAGGCTTTACAAGTATGTAAATACATTCTCACTATACTGCAACAAACCGTTTTCACTCAAAAATATTTACTTCAGCAATGAGAAAAAGGAGAATTATAACATAACGTTTATTTAAATACTTATTCTGGATTTCATATGGACATATCTGCATTAAACATGTAGCATGCTGAAATAAATTAAACCACAGCATGCCAAATGAATATTGTTGTAATCTCTTATTCCAAATATTTTAGATAGCAAGTTCCCAAGTTCTAATTATGTCCTTTTACTCATAAACACGATGAAAAGTGGCAGTCCAACAGTCTGAAAAAAGTGCTCTTAATATCAGTGAGGCGGCGGCGGCTCCGTAGTTTTATTTCTATCATCAACTTGACGTAAAGCTTTCCTTCTTGAAGGTGAGGTACCCCTCTCTCGATTAGTTGTCCTACCCACTGGTCGTCCTCCCCCACTAAGAGATTCCCTAGTGTTTGCACGCTGAGAAGTAGCTCCTCTCCCAATTGGATTGTTATAATTATTTCCAGCCCCACGAGTATGGATTCTTCCTTGAGGATTCGAGCGCTGGGCCGGCGGTTCTGGATTATTGCGGGATTGCCGAACTTCTTCTACACTGGTAGGCTGCATAGAATGGGAGTCGGGTTCCAGTATGGCACTTATCGGACCCCTTTTAGGACCATGATTATCATTGACATCAGAGCAATGGTTTACTTCATCACCATTCCAATTCAGATCAATAACTTTAATAAGACTGTCCCATTCTTCATTATTAAATTGTTCACCTAAAGTATTGAGTAAGAGTTCTTGGACAAAAAGACTACGTTCGGCATGCTCAATTTCTAATGCCTGTTGTTCACCTTCACTAATGACTGGATCCGTGCATCTAAACATAAATATTTATACAAATTAATGTAACATAAATATAAATAGATTAATACAAAAGCATTTAAAATGTTTTCTTCACTCCAGAATTTTAAAATGTTAAATATTACATTATTAAATTCTAGATTTTAAAGGGAAAATTTAATTTTAAATAATATTTATAAATTTTTAATCAGAAAATTAAATTTTCAGAGCTGTTTTTAATCTTTTGGGTTAATCCTTGTCATGATAAACAATTTATAGAAAAGTCACAAATTATGATTGCAAACAGAAAAAAGTTCAAAAAGCATTTAAATCAAATTTGTATACTTTAATAAAATAAGGTGATATGTACATAATACATAACAGTGAAGATCATAATTACAAACACAATGTTCCAAGCAATAATTCAAATAGTAAATACAACAGAGAACCACAAAATAATAACACATTTCTGCACCATGCCTTTTAACATATTTTGTGATTTCTCAGGCTTTTAAGGGCAGTGCATCTCAAATTTTCACCCCCTTTTCCACATCTGCAAGAGGAATGCTACACTTCCTACAATGGGTTTTCTATTTAATGGTATGCATATTACATTTTTTCCTATGCTAGTTACAATACTGACAGGGATACAACACTTGCAATTTATATCAGAGATATCAACGTTTGTCTAGCTAGTTAAGATGTTTTTGTTGTTTTAAATGCTTTCTCTTTCTAAAAAAAAACTATTTAATCCGAAAGGATAACACAGCGTAAAATACATATACTGATGGGGTCAAGCAGCGAAGCAGAAAATTTTAGTACCCAATTTTTCGTAAAACATTTATTACGAGAATTTTCTTTATATATATATATAGATTTCAGTTGAGTAAAATATGCCATTTTAAAAATAATGCAGCTTGAGTGAGAGCTATCTCTTTTTAACCATTCTTTTTAATCTTCAATGAAAATTTTTCAATACTCAAAGCAGGTCAGATCAAACCCATGCAATTTCTTGTCTGATATTTGTTTTTAATTCTGGTATGGTTTGCAGTCTATCAATGTACAACCTGTTCAGAAATCCCCAAAGAAAAAAGTCATATGCAGACATATCTAGGGATGTTGCAGACCATAAGATGTCACTATATTTGGATAAGAGTCTGTCCTAGAACAGTTTTCTTAAAGCAGATATGGATACATGAGTATGACATATGACCTCATCCTGTTGGGAAAAATTAATTTCCAGAAGCCTAAGAAATCAAATCATAAATGCAAAAATGTTCTGAACATGTGCACATCAAAAATGTAGCACAAAAAATGTTCTGAACATGTGCGCATGGTGTCCAAATTAACAATTGCAGCATTTTGGAAGTTATGGTTGTTGCTCATTAACGTTGTGGCTCTATAGTGTTGGAGGAAATATGGCCAATAACGCTAGATAATGAAAGTGCACACCTTACCGTAGCTTTTGGACTATTTAACAGCTTTTCATGCAACTAACCAAGGTTTTCATCATATCAGTACCGAGTAAAGTCATCAAGTCATTGTTCTTATAAAATAATTTTACGCAGAAAGTACGTTGTAGATCAGACTACTGTTTCATGTTTAAAAAATGACATTAAATATCTAACAATAATCCGAAACCTCCACACTTCGTCGTGAATATAAAATGAACTACTGAACTTTTAAAATTTCCCGCTTTATTGGTTGAACTTGTACATATACCTAAACAAGCTAGACAAATGCTAACATCTGTAATATAAATTGCAAGTGTTGGATCCTGTTAGGGTTAGTAACAGTTTTATCCTTCTGAGCATGTTAAATCAATTTTTTCATTTCAAAACAGCTTGTGGTTCTAATGGTTATACACGAACTAACTATTTATTTATTTTTTATTACTCTATATTTTTGGTATCAATTTTCCTTTGTTATTATTTTTTCTTGTATTATATATGTTTTGTTTTTTAGACTCTCTCCACTCAATGTTTTTTTAATTTAAGCTTATTAATGGCTTTAAAGTTGCAAATTTTCAATTTTTTGCATATATAATACGCTTAAAATTCATCCCATAGTCAATTTGGAATAAACATATGCAAAAACCCAGATACGAGAAGCACAGTAGCAGACAAAGAAAATAAGGAAATTACATCTAACTGCACTGTTATCAAGGAATCAATGCTACCCCTCCCACTCCCAAAAAAGTAAATAAATAAATTGGCATGTTTCTGAACAATAAAGGCACGAAGATTAAAGCTTACAATAATCTCAGAAAAACAGTCAAAGCAAACTGTGTCTTTATCAGTCTAACCCCTACAGGCTGAAGTAAACATTGCAACATATAGCATCAAAAACAAACAAATTTTAACTATTATTTTGAACAGACGAAGTTCAAAATGTAATTTTAAGCTTTTTAAAAATTTTTTTCATGTTTTTGATGCTAAATTTTACAACAGTTTGCATTGCTTATGTCAGAAAAGACACAGAATACTTTGTAGTTCTGAGATGATGTTAAGTTTTAAACTTTGTGTTTTTATTGGTTCAGAAACAAGCTGACTTTTTCTGTTGCACCAACTAAGTAACAATGCAACAAAAGATGTACACTGCGGGGGGGGGATGAGACAGTTCTATATCTCCCGTTCTACTGGGCCGATGGACGAAATTCAAATTGCATTTTTCATGTTTCGAAAGTGCGACTTAGGATATATATTAGATTTATATATAGCTCTATTCTAACATAGGTATTTTAATACAAAATACTTTTTCTGAAATAACACAGCAATTTTTTTCCCCATGTCAATTCTACAACTTCAATTATGCCTAAATATGAAATTTTGTAAAATTTGGAGTGAAATTTATGGAGAAATTTGCAAGTTTATGTTAATGCTTCTTCTCCTCCCACCACAGTTTGCACCAAAAATAGTTTACTTGGCTAACTTCTTAATACATAACAATCTATTTTTCTTTCCATTTTTACATCGCACGTGAGCGGGGAAAAAGTCAATATTGTCCTTTTTTCAAATAACATTATTTATATTATATTTTTAATTATAATTATTATTATTTTAAGTAATTTTTTCTTTTTCGAATTTCATTTTAAATGTTTAAGTTGCATGCTTTCTTTCGAATAACAGTTTTAAAAATTTCTGTTTATACACTTGAACTGCGTAGTTTAAATAAAATGTACAACGTTTATTTTTTCAAATAGTTTTCTTTATAATTTTTTTTTCATAGTTATTATTTTACATAATTTTTAAATTTTTAGACTTTTATTTTAATTGTTTGTGTTGCATTGTCCTTTCAGATAATTGTTTTAAAATTTTCTATTTATTCATTCGAACTGAGCATTTTAAATATATTTATTAATACAAATTTTCCAGAATATATTTATTTATTTGTCATTTTATTTATTTGAACTGCGTTTCTTTCGGAAGAATACTTTGTGACCCAGACTATGATGCATTTGAAAACTGCATATATTCAAAGAGAAAATACAGTAAAGCCTAGGATGACTTGCATATATTGCTTTAAACAGCTTTATCATTGTGCTCATTGCTTTACACAATTTTATCATCCTACATTCAGTTTCTTAAAATGTTATTCATATTTTAGTCAAATATTTTATTCTTGAAATCGCAAGAATCAAATATCATAAGAAATTTTTTTAAAAAAAATACTAAATTTTATGCAAAAAATTATTTTTTTCTTAATGGCTTGCTCTTTTTCTTCAGGCATTCTTCAAATATATTAAAAAGCATCCAACTTTTCTAAACATCTTGGTATTTCTGACATTAATTTTAAATAAATTTATCGCCTTCCTTTCCATAAAGACCCAGCAACGGCCGAGGGGAAAAATCGCTGAACACTGGTAGTTCGCTCTGGGGTTTGAATCCCAGCGAACGGGCTGGTTGCATGAGCGTTTTCATGTTTTTTCTCATGTGTAATGTGTACGCCAGCTGGTTTCCCTTAGAAAGTTCTTCACGAAGACATGTTCCCTTTAGGCAGATAGCCCTGCTTTCCCATAACTTAACAATCTAATTCAATCCATTTCATCAGTATTTGGTCAAGAGACTTTATCAGTCTTTAGAGGCTAAGCATTTTGAAGGCATGACATGAAAGGAAAGACTGGTTTCAACAAGAAGGAAACCGTCTTTAGGAGACATCCACATGCATCACTGGATAAATTCCTGAATCTTCAAATAATTCGACTTAGAAATCAAGGGATGCTCCTTTTGTGGTATGATATGATGTTCTATGAAGCAATTTAAATTTATACAACCATATAGTCGAAAACCAGTCACTATTCACTTTAATCTGCAATGATATCATTTTTGTCTTTTCCGTTAGCACAAACTCAATTGCTGCTATTTGCTGGTGTACACATCCAAGTGTTTTCTCTTTGAACACCCAACTTCCTTGAAGTAGATTACCCTTTAAATTTTTGCTTTTTCCCCTCCCAATTTCCTTCTTTCTATCTACATTTGTTTTCAGTGCTGACACAGGAAAATTAAGATTTTTCGATTGTTACACTTCCATGAAATTTTGCATTCTTGTCAAATTTTTTAAAAAATTTCAATTGCATCAAATGCGCTTTCAGCTGAAGACAGCTTTTCGATTTTCTAGACATTTTAACTATAAATAAAGTTTAAAGCAAAGTCCAAAGGATAAATATTTGAATTAAAAGATTTTTGTTAAATGAGAGAAATAAATAACTCCACCAACGCTTATCCTGTATCACCAAGTTACCCAATTCTTAATACTGGGTGCAAAAAAATCTTAATTATATTATTTAGAGCTTTTAAGCCTAAAAATTTGTATATTAAAGAAGATTTTTTTATATAATCTACAACATGAGAGAAAATTACTACTTAAGACATTCTTTCTAAGAGGATTAATGTAAAAATTTATGTTTATATATATATGTCTTTTAAAGCTTGGACATGACCCAAAGTGTTAACGTCTTGTTTGCTTAAAAACACCATGAAAATAAACAAACGAACTTTTGCCAGTTTTAGACAATTCAATTTAACTGAAGCTAAAGTA